TACAAAGTAAGATAGAGTTTTGCCTAGTGCAGGAGGCCCTTCATTATTGCTGCAGAAAACAAAAGCCTGGCTGAGCTGATGTTTTACATTCTCCTTTACCGAAATGTCCGTGACATGATGCTTCTTGCTGGGTTTTTGTATACACAAACATTGTCAAGATGTGACCGAAAATGGCTGGAGGTGTGCTTTGTGTGAAAGGTGAGCAATAAAGTATCTGTACGTTCAAAAAAAAAAAAAAAAAAGAAAAGAAAATTGCATGAGTTGTGCTGTGGGAGGCCGCTGGGGAACGCAAGGTCTAAGAAACACTTGGGAAACTTCCAGGCAAAATGAGGCCACATGTGCAGCTATGATGACAAAGCTTTGGTTTCACTATCTTCTGTCATAAGGGCCACATGCGAGGCCTAGAATATTCTAATAGCAATGATAAATACTTGTTCCCTGGGACATTAGCATTAACCCTATATGAAAACCTTTGACTCTGGTGGTGGTTGGATCTAGTAGGCTTATGATTTTTTTCTTTGGCTGTTGTGAAGAACCTGTTTCAATGCTCAGTGACAGTGTGTGGCTGGGAGTCCCACAATTAGTGGTGCTCAAGTGACACCATATTGGTTGTATGAAAACAAAACTAACAAAAAACAAGGTTGCATGTTAGTGCAAAGGCTCATTGCTGGATTTCCAGGACTGCAAAATACAGATCCCATCAAAAAGCCTGTATCTCTCTTAGGTCCAGTACTCCTCCTGAATTTCTTTGTACTCAAAGTGTAGATTCTTTAGCCAGATGTTAAAGTGAACATTAATGTATCTATCTGTCTGCCTATTATCTGTCTAACATCTGTCTGTCTGTCTGTCTGTCTGTCTGTCTGTCTGTCTGCCTATCTATCTGATAGTATCCTATAACCTCAAACTCCCTGAATGCTGACAATATAAAGTCCTGCGATTTTGTTTTATTTTATTTTTTTTAACATTGAGGAGGTTTTCACTAAGCCACCATGTTGGTTTAGGTGAATACAAATTACATCCTTGTGTAGTTTTTTCATGAAAGATTTCACTAGTCACCAAGTTTCACAGGCTTAGCTTAGATTTATGATCATCCCATCTCACCCACTTGTATTGCTGTATCACAGCCCCATGTATGACAGGTCTCCTGGCCCTTGGCTTTTTTTTTTTTTTTTTTTTTTTTTTTTGTGTGTGTGTGTGTGTGTGTGTGTGTGTGTGTGTGTGTGTGGCCAGCTCAGCCCACCAGAGGGCGTGGCTGGCTGGCATGTGGTGCTGGGGGATTGAACCGTGGTCCCTTTGCTTTGCCAAGCTTGTTCAAATAGGTGCTTTAGACCACTGAGCCATCTCACCAGCCCCTTGGCTTTTCAATGACTTAAATATACAATACATAAAATTTGATGTTTTCTGAATAGTAACTCAGGAGTCTGCACGAAAAGCTGAAAACATTCTATGCAATAGTGTATCCTTTTCATTCAGAAATGCGGAATCCCTGGGGCTCTTGGTACTACCCTGACTACAGAATCCTTGGCACTGCTCCCAGGTGGATCTGGGTGACTCCGAGTTTTGTCTTAGACTGTGCACAAAGTTACACACTGTGGAAGGCATGGACACTCACCTGGCATGTGAGTGGCAGCACTATATACACAAAACCCTCAAGGAATGGAAGTGCAGCTTAGCATGAGGGCTTGATGCTGGACTCTTACTAGTGCAATACAGAGAGCAAATAAAAACAGAAGTCTTCTAGCCCTCTCTTAGCTCTGGTTTATATCAATTCTTGAACTGCTTTTAACTCCATTGCTGTTTCCTGTGGTGACAGCTCTTCAAGGAGACGTGGAAATGTAGGAACCTGTGGTCTTCACATTGGGTCTGCACACAGCATGCAGCTGCTCCATGTGAGATTTCACATTGGCAAGGCAAGATGCTGTGCTGATCCCATGGGAACACCCTTTACCTCTTGTGGCAGCAAAGACTGAGGGTCCCTCCTTGCCCTCATGATGAGTTTTAGGTTTTAAGCGTCACTATGGTGTTTAATGTCCCCACTGTCCTATAATGTGAGCAACTCAGAGGTTGAGACAACATGATAAGGACTTTAATTAGTTGAGACATGGTCTGGCTAAGTAGTTCCAGATGGTTTTGAACTCACTATATTGGCCAGGCTGGCCTCAAAATCACATGGATGCTCCTCCCTAGCCTTCTAAGTTATGGAATTCCATATATGAGCCTCTCAATCAGCTGTGATGCATAAATTTGAAACTCATCCGAATAATTCATTACTACCCTTGTTTATGAAGTTTCAAAATTTTAAGTGAGCACTCAGGATGTAGCTCAGCACATCTTGACTTCAGTCACTAGCCTTCAGTAAAAAAGACTTGACATTTTTGTTTTCTAGTATCTTCCATTTGGTTTCTTGGCTTCATTCAGAGAAAAATCTGGCAGTCCTTAGGCCTAGTATCTTAATAACAGAATAATAATTTGTACCTTGTCATTTACAAGGTCCCAGAAGAAACACCCAGAGCCCCTTTACAGTGTGATACTTGATTCCCTTTACCATAGTATTTTACTTTCTTTTCCCTTATTTAGAAAAGGTATTGGTCTGTACAGCCCCCTGGCCCTGAACTCACTATGCTGCCCACGTTGGCCTTGAACTCACTTAGATCCTCCTGCCCCAGCATCTTGAAGCTGGTGCTACATGAGTGAGCCAACATGCCTAGCTTTGAAGATAGTTTTGAGGATCCACACCCCGCCAGTGGCTCTTCTCTCCCACCATGATTGGCCATACGCTCTGCTGTGCTAAGTGACAAAGGTCCCCATTCACAACTTCTTACATAATTTTGTCTTTTTTGTGGGGATGACATTGCTATTTCTGTAAAGCATCGCAGAGGTCCACTTCTTTATTTGCTTGTTGTCCCGGATTGAATTTATGAACTCTGCATTGCTGCATATCCTCAGCATATTTTCATGAGTTAATATTTATTTATTTATTTATTTATTAGAGTTCTTCTGATCTCAAAGGCTTTGCTGTCTCTCCCTCGTTCTCTGTATGCTTTTAATTTTGGGCCATGTCTGTGTTTACATCAAACTCTCCTGGAAGTCAGGGCAATTGTCCTGCCTCCTTCCTATCCTCCTAGTCACAGTGCTGGACAGGCAGTTTCCTGTGAGCCTAAACTCAGGAAGGAAATGAAGCAGTCCTACCAGCACTCAGATCCTGCCCTGGTGTCCTGAACTCTGCCTGCGAGGGAGCTCCTGACCAGCCATGCAGACCTGACGGGAGCTGAGTCTGCGTGCTCAGTGCTCCCAACTCACCACGTTGTCCCAAAGCCAGAACGCGGTGCAGG